GGGTTTAGGGCTTTAGGGTTCAGGGGCTTAGGGTTATTCTGGATAGGCTTTGGGGTTTAGGCTTTGGTGTGGGTCGGCTGTTCCTTATAAGTCAGAGGCCTTATAGAGATGCACAAGCATTATAGGGGCTTAGCAAAATTGTGAGATCGTAACTTTGGGGGGGGGGGGGGCTTTTTCAGGGCGCATGGTTTGGTAATTTTGTGGGTCTATAACCTATACCCTAAACCCTAAGCCCTAGACCCTAAACCCGTAAAGCCCTAAACCCCTAAGCCCCTATACACTACACCCTTAACTCTACCCGATGAGGATGCTGACGCGGATTCTGCATGACACGTCTACTTGGAGGTTTGATGGCGAGGTCTTACTTGGAGGGTCGGGCGACTTAGTAAGTCGGTAATAAATCGACTTGTAAGTAACCTAAGAGGGACCCTAATTTGGGTTATGATACTTATAACTCCATAAAATAGCTACTTACTAAGTCCCTCGCCCCTTTAAGGAAGGACCCAAAGCATACATCCCACACTTGGCTGACTTCTGAACCCCTCCTGAAAGCTAAACTTTTAGCCTACTTATTATAGTTCATAGAGAAACCCAAAATGCTAAAGTCCTACAAGCAGACGCCAGGCCCCCAGAAAAATCTAAGAAGTAACACCCGGAACAAGGCCCATCTTCGCCCATATACTGGTGCCGTTGATGATAGAAACCCCGCATTACCTTAAGGATCCTAAACTGTGGGAATTGTGGTATATTCCTTTTTTTTATGGGTAATGCAGGATTCATATCATCAACCGTAAGATGCGCCCCCCCCTAGACCCTCTCTATCTACACAATAGCAGTTTAAACCTTAAGAATCTTCGTGGGCAAAGCTCGTTTCTCGAATCTTCGTGTGCAAGGCTCGGTTTCTTCGTGGGCAAGGTTCGTGGGCAAAGCTCGCTTCTTCTTGGGCAAAGCTCCGTTTCGAAACCTTAGGGTTTAGGGTTTAGGGTCTAAGGTTTAGGGTTTATTTTCCGAACACTAAAATAAATAATGCTTCCTTTTAGGGTTTCGCCTGGGGTCTCGTTTAGGGTTTCACCTAGGGTTCCTTTTAGGGTTTAGGGTTTAGGGTTCCGTGTAGGGTTCCGTTTAGGGTTCCGTTTAGGGTTCCATTTAGGGTTCCATTTAAGGTGCGCTTAGGGTTCAAAACTTTGTTCGGGGCTCAGGGAAGATGATAAACTTTGCATGTAGCAGGCTCGACTAGATGCTGCTCGATCCGCAGCTGCTGAACCTGAAACCCTACACCTTAAACTCTAAACTTCGAAGAAGTTGGGCCATCGATATCCTCATGCTTTGGGGCTTGCCCCATACTGTAACTGTCTGTAGAAGGGCTACTGCTAAGTGCCTTATATATCCATGTTAGGATTATTATTCAACCGTTACTGAGTGGGGGTCGTACCCTAATATAGGGGCCTCAATAATTGCCCATAATATGTTTTGGGGGCGCGGTTCCTGATAATAGTAAAAGTATACGATACCCCCCAAAACCCTAGGCTAATTATGAGGGTCCCTTTATCCTGCATGCTGTTCTGGTGAAGTGCAGGCGAGCCAGGAACTTGCCCTGAAGCCCAGACCCGAACTTTATTTAGTTGTTACTTCATAAGGTTTAGGGTTTAGGGTTAACCCTAAACCCTAAACCCTAAATCCTAAACCCTAAGGTTTAGAAGCCACATCAAAAGTGAAACTTTCAGCCTACACAGGCTATGGATATTCCCCCCAAAGCTCCAAAGTATACTCATTCAGCTAAAAAAAAGAGCTAACCATCCTTAACCAAGGTTCCAACAGGTTCCAACATTCTGCAGATAGCTTCATTGGTTACCGATCTTAGGGTCTGTGTGAAGCTGCAAGGGGCTTGGTTAGAAGCTACAGCTACTTGCAAAAGTCCTGAGAACGAAGAGACCTGCACGCGATGGGACAGCCAAACGTCGTGAAGCTGCTGACAATATGCCTTCCATTGCTGCAGCCGCATCAATGGCACGGTGTTGTCAACTCTAGCAGTCTTGAAGACGCCTTGCCAGTTCGTCGTGTTCCCAGGCCTTAAGTCCCAACGGGCCGCCTGCAAATCCTCCAGGCCACCGTCGTAATTAGCCAGAAGTCGGGTCGCCCAAGATCGTGCAAGAGCATGAGGCAAGGACACCTTTGCGTTGGCCACCAGCAAGGACAACGAGGTTGCATCCAAGTCGGGGTCTACCTCACAGCGCCGGTGGGCAGCCCAACATGGATGGCTCAAGACATCGGATGCCATTATCGCACGGCATTTGTCCGATTCCTTTTTCCCATGCAGCTTTTCTATGGTGCCTGTCAGGATCGCATGGCCCATAGACGCCAATGCCTGCCGCTCTTGCCGCTTTTTCCGCTCCTTGCCGGGTCTGCCAGGTTTCCCGCAAGGCCCCGGAACGCCGCACCGCCCCGAAGGCCCCATACCACTGACTGCGAGGGCACTCTGCGTCAGAAAAACCAGACGGGGCGCGAGAACCGCACTACAACATACGAGCCACACTTACCAGTATACGTCTCCACGAACTTGATACTTTTCAATTTCGGGTTCGAGATTTGGAGTTAAGAGTTTAGCGTTTCACGCTCCGAGTTTCGGGCTTAAGACTTAGAAGTTGACATGGAGAGTTTACACTTTAGAGCCACCGCTTTCTCGGCAACCTTTTGAACTTCAAGCCAAGCTTTCACAGATGACACAACTGTGTTGACACTTTCTTTCGTCCCAGCGTACGCTTTTTTGCAGCTGGGAACCCAGCAGCTAAAAATCCCGGTCGCCTAAACCCCTAAACCGCTAAAACCCTGAACCCAGAGCCCTAAAACCCTAAAACCCTAAAACCCTAAACCCTATACCCTACAACCTCGGAACCTTGAAGCCGATACCCCAGTCCCTTAACCCTATAAACTTTACGGCTTAGGGTGTTGGTTTAGGGTTTAGGGTTTAGGGGTTTAAGGGTTTAGGGTTAAGGTTTAAGGGTTTAGGGTTACGGTTTTAGGGTTTAGGGTTTAGGGTTTAAGGGTTAAGGGTTTAGGAGTTGGAGGTTTAAACCTAGACGCTGGACCCTAAACCCTACCTTGACGTACCAAAACCTACTTTGTTTTGTCGGGTCCCTATGAGTTTCGTATTAGGGTGTATGAGAAGAACCTACGAACAAGTCGGTTATGGTAGCTGAAAGTAAACCTTGAATCCTTGAACCCTCCTCGACCCCAAAAGCCCAGACAATAAGAACTAAAAACATAAAACTGCAATGTGTAAGGCGCTGGCGGCGCCTTTGCACCGTTTTCAGTTTCCGGTGAAGGTACCTGAACAAGATTTAGAGTTTAGGGCTTACTTTGGTGCAGGACGTACTTTCAGCCGGCTAGGTGTTTCTCAAGGCCAAAAAAAACCGATGATGGGGAGGCGTCTGGGCGGAGTAGTTAAGAATTTCATCAGCGTAGATGTGGAACTATCAGAGGACAGAATTACGTGTTATTATGACTTCTGACTTGTGTAACTTTTACCCCTCCGCTCAAAGCAAAAAACGGTATAATGGCATGGTCTAGGAATTACGCGCGTTTTGAGTGGAGAAACTCAAGTGTGTACGCCTTAGTACAGGACGGCTAGGCCCTAAAGCCTAAACCCTGAACCCAGACCCTAAACCCCAAAACCCTAAACCCTAGACCGTAAACCTCAAACCCTAAACCCGAAACCCCAAACGCCAAATCCCCAGTCCCTTGTCGGGGCTACGGCTATGGGTAAAGGGAGATGACGGCCGAGGGTTTCGGAAGTCTAAGGGGGTTCAGGGCTTCTAGGGTTCAGGGTTTAGGGTTTAGGAAATCTAGGGGGTTCAGGGCTTCTAGGGTTTAGGGTTTAGGGTTTACGAAATCTAGGGGGTTCAGGGCTTCTAGGGTTTAGGGTTTAGGGTTTAGGAAATCTAGGGGGCTCAGGGTTTCTTGGGAGTTTTGGGAGTCTAGAGGGGGTTTAGGGCCAGTTTAGGGGTTTGGGGCTTATGGTTTGGGGGTACATAAACCCGATCGCGAACCCTAAAGCCCAAAGCCTAAGCCCTGAAAGCCCTATTCTACACCCTAAACCCTAAAACCCTAAAGCCCTAAACCCTAACCCAGGATCGCGAAGGAACCCGACAGGCCTGTCCTCACACGAAAAGTGCTCCAAGAGTGAGACGAATGTCGGTGGCATCGTATACCAAATAGTACCCAGAGGGTCCATATAGACTACCATCATGGAATTAGGCCTGAAATTAAAGGACCATCCCTATCATGGTTTTGGGGACTTAATTCCATAATCGTAGTGTATACTCTTGGGTACTGCTTTTATAAGGGATCCTGCATGCCGCCTTACCTGCATCCCACATTTTGCGCTCTTCCAGACACTCCAAATCCCGTAAATCACGACGGATGCTACCACTTCCCTAAACCCCAAACCCCGAAAGGCATTAAGAAATTAGCAAGATTGACCTAAACCCTAAACCCTAAACCCTAAACCTTAAACCGTCTAAGATCCCAAACCCATGGAAGGATGTAGGGAGACGATGGCGGGAACCCACAAGAAAAAACCGTCCGGAGCCTCTGCGGGTTGGACTTCCTTCAGCTCCTGCACATCGTTCACAGAGACTCCAAAACCCCTTAATTAAGGAATTTACCTTAAATTACAATAGGAACCCTAATAAGATTTAAGGTATATTCCTTAATCAAGGGGTTTGGGAGTCTCTGGGTTTCTTCTGATAGCCCGAAAGCCTATAAACCCCTCAATCCGAAACCTTAAACCCTAAACACTCAACCTCTAGCCCTTACCCATATAATGCTGGGCTGGGGTTTTGAGTTCTGGGGTTTGGGCCTAGGCTATATATATATATATAAGAGGGGTTATGTAGGCGGTTTAGATGGGTTAGGGTCAGAATTTGCTTTTGTTAGGAGCTTTGAGATCAAAAACCTCCACGAACCCCAAACCCCAAACCCTAAACCCTAAACCCTAAACGCTAAACCCGAGAACCTCGTGGGGGATAACGGCGCGCTTCGAGAAGGTCGTTTGCATCGCTACTATTACTACCGCGCCTGCCACAGGACACCAGGCTTCCTCTTGGATTTAGGGAGTAGGGGTTTAGGGGTTTAGGGGTTTAGGGCTCAGGGGTTAGGGGTTTAGGGGTTTAGGGTTTAGGGTTTTTGTAAGCATGCTTTTTGCGTCTGGGGCTTGGAACCGCTTGCAAGGATGCGCTAGCGTACTGCCTGGTGAAGCTCTTACGCGAAAAGTAGTAGATTGAAGTAGCACTGGCGAACATACCGAAAGTACCACGCCTGTCACACGCGACACAGTGTTTAACATCGGATTGAGAATCTACTGGAGCTAAACGTAGTGTGACATGATCTGAGATGATAGGAAACTGACATGATATGACATGGCATGATATCATATGACACGGAAAGACATGTGATGATGCAGTAGATCTTCAATCCTATGACAAGCGTGGTACTTTCCGTATGTTCGCCAGTGTTACTTTCAATCCACTACTTCCTGCCTAAGAGGTTCATCAGAATGTAATAACGTATCTTGAAACACAGAACGTTGTCACCCCGCACCCCCGCCTGAGCCCCCCGCACCCCTCACAACCCCTCACCCACAAGAAGAAGCAAACAGTAGGCGCAGTCATCCCCCCACATGTGCAAGAACATGATAGCGTGGGGTGGGGTGGCTGAGGCAACTGCCTGCTCTCGACCTAAAGACGGCAAACTCCTCAACCCTCTTCCCTTTCCAAACTCTAAAAACCCACAATCCTCGAATTCTTGCACATCCTCTGAAACTCCAAACCCAAAGAAAGCAAACTCCTAAACGCAAAACCCTAACTTCTTACAAAACCCTAAAACCCCTAACAAAAAACTGACTAAACTCAATCACACTAAAGTCCCAAACGCCGGAACTTAAACCCACGAAAGTCTGCACTCGTAAACACAAGTAAAACAAGACCCCAAAACCAATATAAACATGCAGACATAAAGCGAGTAACATCTCTCTCTCGCTCTCTCTCTATATGTACATACATACGTATATGAGTAGTTCTCCAAATCAGGGTCCCTTGCAGGGTCCTTTTATAAGGGTGCCGTACTATATTGGGGACCTAAAAAAAGGACCCTAATCTAGAGAACTACCCATATGTATATATGTGAACTCCAAAACTCCTAAACCTTGAACCCTAGCTTTAAACCCCGAAACCCCTAGCAACTCCCCAAACCCAAAGACGGCCAACGCCTAAACCCCAAACCCTATACCACAAACCCTGAGTCCTCTCAGCCCCAAACCCCGAGTCCTCTCAGCCCTAAACCCCTGAGTCCTCTCAGCCCTAAGCCCTGAGTCCTCTAAGCCCTAAACCCTAAGTCCTCTAAACCCTAGACCCTAAACCCTGAGCCGCTTGGCTCCTTCAGCTTTGTTTCCGCTTCAATCCGTCGAGCTCCCTGCAAATCACGGCTTATCGGGGGCTCGTTCAGGGTCTTTCCAGGGTTCAAAAAAAGTCTTTATCTCTAACACTACACACACATGTGTATATGCATGTATATACATGTATATATATATATATATACATATACATATATATATATATATATACATGTGAATAAACACGCGCATATATGTGTGAGCAAATAAGTACATGTATTTATATATCTATATTCAATATGTATATATATATATACATATGTTCGTAGGGTTCTAGAAAATGGAAATGGTATTCACTAACTAAAATGGGGTACTCTACAGAACCGCCTACCAAGACCTCTGAACCTCCACATGCTGAAGCAGGGGAAGGAGTAACCCTAAATCCGAATCCGTGGCACTGCTGCAATACACCAAGACCTTACACCAATTCTCTGCTCCTGAACACCAATACCATGCTTCGGGTTTAGGACTAAGGGCTTGGGGTTTAGGAGCAACTACTAAGTAGTAGCTACTATTGCAGCAAATACGCACAGCCACAGCAACAGCAATAAACAAACAATATACAATCAACGACACTCGACGAAACGCAACACCATAACAAACAAACACTGAACGAAAAAAACAACCTACCCCCCCTTCTCAACAAACATGTGCACACATATTACAACTCCTACAAACACTGTCAAGACTAAGGGCAATTTCAGTAAAACGATAACAACCAGTACAGTTTTTCTAAGAGCTCTAAATTACGAATTACTAAATAAACCCTAGAGACCCCACACCCCCAAACCCTATACTAAAAACCCCTAAACCCTAAAGCCAAAACCCTAAAACCCCAAGTCCTCTAAACCCAAAGCCCTGAACCCTAAATCCCCTAAACCCTAAACCCTAAACCCCCCAAAGCCCTGAACCCCAAATCCTCTAAACCCCCCAAAGCCCTGAACCCCAAATCCTCAAAACCCAAATGCCTAAACCCTAAACCCCAAATCCCATAACCCCTACACCCTAAACCCTGAACCCGAAACCCGAACCCCAAACTCTCTAAACCCTAAACCCCAAGCCCTGAGCCCTAAATCATCTAAACCCTAAAGCGGAGTAGATGGGAAATGCCAATTCGGAAGCAATGGGCTTCGCCAAGAGAACTTTGGCTTGGTGTCTTTCCATCGCCCAGCTTGTGAAACTTGCGTGATCCCATGCCAGAGTCGAATTACTGGTAATGGAAATCCGCAGAGCAAGCCGCCACCGCGCCGGCCTTGATAGCACCCCGACTCCAGTTTTGGATGTTCGGGTATTTTGGGGAGTGTGTGCAGTGCTCGGACTTTTCAGGCTTGTACGGTTGAGCGTGTCTGAGCTCCCGGCCCAGGAGCGGTCTGCCGCCTGCCACAACCTCCGCCAAGCAGTAGTCGGCGCACTTCTGCCCGCTCCGCGCCTTACCGAACACAGGATATATGACGAGTATATTGGGTTTGGTGGAACTGGTGTATAAGAGAGTGCGAAAAGCGGACCACACCCCTCAACTCTCGGTCACAAAGCAGTGGGCAACCGTAGGCTGCTGGATGTCAAGGAGGCCATGTACGATGCTCACTTCGATGCCATCGTCCCCATCCGTCCGCAGCGGTTTCGAGGCTATCTGATGTTTCTCATGTACTCTGCGGCCTTGACATTCCTCTCCCGTGAGGGAATCATACCCGTCACCCAAAACCCCCAACTTTCTGGGAGCCAAGCCCAAAGGAAGCCCTTTAAGAAGCCCCTCAAAGGAACCCTTGAAGGGGCCCTAAACCCTAAACCCTAAACCCTTATTAAAAGGAAGCCCTTGGAAGGGGCCCTTTTAGGAGCCCTTCGAGGAAGCCCCTTTAAAGGAAACTCGAGAACCCTCAAGTAAGGTTTAGGGTTTAGGGTTTAGGGTTGTAACCCTGAATCCTAAACTCTAAACTCTAAACCCTAACGGTTAGGGGTTAAACCCCCTAAACCTAAAGCCCAGAACCCAAAACCCAGAACCCTAAACCTAGGACCCTCAACCCCAAACCCTAGACCTCTAAAGCCAAAGCCCTAAACCCCTAAACCTAGAACCCTAAACCCCAAGCCCTAAACCGTAACTCTAGAAACCCAAACCAAACCCCTAAACCCTAACCCCAAACCCCTAAACGCAGAACCCTAAATCCCAAACCCTAAACCCTAAACCCCAAGCCTCTTTAACGGGCGCGCCTGAAGGCCAGCTGCCTCCGCCTCTGTCAGAGCTCCTTGAAGCGCGATCGGATCCCCGGAGGCCAAGGCTTCCTCCAGTTTAGGGGGTTTAAGGTTTAAGGGTATGGGGTTCTAGGGTTTAGGGTTTAGGGTTTAGGGTTTGGGGGTAGCGTTCTGGATTTAGGGGTTTAGGGGTTATGGGATTTGAGGTTTAGGGTTTAGGCTTTTGGGTTTAGAGGATCTGGGGTTCAGGGCTCTGGGGGGTTTAGGGTTTAGGGTTTAGGGTTTAGGGGATTTAGGGTTCAGGGCTTTGGGTTTAGGGGTTTGGGGTTCTAGGGTTTCGGGTTTAGGGTTTGGGGTTCTAGGGTTTCGGGTTTAGGGTTTGGGGCCTTGGGTTCTACGTTTAGGGTTTGGGGTTAGCGTTCTGGATGTAGGGTTCTAGGTTTCGGGTTGGGGGTTTAGGGTTTAGGAGTTAAGGTTTAGGGGTTAGGGTTTAGGGGTTTGGGGATCTACGGTTTCGGGTTTAGGGGTTAGGGTTTAGGGGTTTTGGTTTAAGGGGTTTGGGGTTCTACGGTTTCGGGGTTAGGGGTTTGGGGTTAGGGTTTAGGGATCAAGGTATGGGGATAGGGTTTAGGGATCAAGGTATGGGGTTCTAGGTTTAGGGGTTTGGGGTTCTGGGTTTCGGGTTTAAGGTTTAGGGTTTAGGAGTTAAGGGTATGGGGTTTGGGGTTCTAGGGTTTGCACATGGGGTTTAGGGTTCTACGTTCAGGGGTTTGGGTTTAGGGGTTTGGGGTTCTAGGGGTTAGGGTTTAGGGGTTTTGGGTTCTAGGGTTTCGGGTTTAGGGTTTGGGGTTAGCTTTCTGGATTTAGGGTTCTAGGTTTCGGGTTCTGGGTTTGGGGTTTAGGGTTCTACGTTTAGGTGGTTTAAGGTTTAGGGTTTTGGCTTTAGGGTTCAGGGTGTAGGGTTCAGGGTTTAGGGTTCTGGGCTTTGGGTTTCAGGGGTTAGTTACGTAAGGTTTAGGGTTTAGAGTTTAGGATTCAGAGTTCTTGAGGTTCCTTTAACGTGCTTCCTGTAAGGGCAATGAGAAGGCTTACTGTAAGGGTTCCTTTGATCGGTTTCTTACCCTAAACCCTAAACCCTAAACCTTCCTTTAAAGGGCTTCCTTTGAGCTCCTTGAAGGTTCCTTTTAAGGGGTTGCTTTCAAAGAGGGTCCCCCTTCAAGGGGCTCGTTGAAGGGATCTATACTATAAGGGATCCTTGACGGGTTCCTTTAGGATTCCTGTCACGGTTTAGGGTTTAGGGTTCAGGGTTTAGGGTTTAGGGTTTAGGGGGTGAGGGTTTTAAGGTTTAGGGTTTAGGGGTTTAGGGTTTGAGGATTTTCTTCAAACACCTTGAACACAAACTACGACTGTCTTCTGTTTGCAACAAGGCAACAAGAACAGCTTTTTCATAACAGAAAGAAGCTTTCTAGACTTTTGAGGCGTGTGTTTGGGAGATACTTGACTCGAACCCTAAACCCAAAGCCCTAATCCTAAATACCCTAAGCCCCAAACCCTGAATCCTCTAGGCCCTATAAACCCTAAAAGCCCTATAAGCCCTATAAGCCCTAAAAACCCTACATAAACCCCAAAAGCCCTATAAACCCTATAGGCCCTAAACCCTAAAAACCCTATAAAACCCTAGAAGCCCTAAGACCTATAAACCCTATAAGCCCCTCAAAACCCAAAACCCTATAGGCCCTAAACCCTAAAAAACCCTATAAAACCCTAGAAGCCCTGCGCCCTATAAACCCTAAGCCCTATAAGCCCTAAAGCCCCTAATCCCTAACGCTCTATTAACCCTACAAGCCCTAAACCCTAAACCCTATAAAACTCTAGAAGCCCTAAAAACCCTATAAACCCTGTAAGCCCCAAAAGCCCTAAACCCTAACGCTCGGTGCTTTCGCTTCTTGCTTCGACGGTGCTTGTGGAGATGGAGGGTTCGGGAATCGAGCCGTTGTTGCTTTAGGGTTTAGGGTTTATAATTTAAGGTTTATAGCGCTTGTAGGGTTTAGGGTTTAGGGTTTAAGGTTTAGGGTTTAGGGTTCAGGGTTTAGGGTTTAGGGTTTGGGGTTCAGGGTTTAGGGTTTAGGGTTTGGGTTGTTGTTGGTGGTGGTGCTGTCGCGTCCTGGTTTGTGACGAGTCTTTTCAGATCCAATCTGCAGGTGAGTAGCTTTCCGAAGCGTAGATGACTCGTATTGTGCAACGACAATCCCAAAGACCCCTTCTTCGCTGCAACACTCCTTGGATGCACCAGGCCCCAATAAAAACATAAGCAATCCTGCCCTGAACTCTTTAGAACCCTGAACCCCTAAACCCTAAACCCTAAACCTCTGTCCTGCAATCCTTTGTCAGCGCTCTTCAGCTTCTCCAGGATCCTTCGCTAGGATTCCCGGTCGTAGTTTGGCGTTTGCGGAAGCCCGGAACCCGAAAGTGTAACCTCAAAGCCCTCCAAAGCCGAATGAAGCACTCTTGACCTAAAAGTCTGTGCCGTGTAGACCATGACCCCTACCATAGAAGCCCTAAGCCCTAAACCATAGAAACCCCAAAACCCCAAACCGGTCCCCAAGACCAAGGTTGAGGGCTTAGGGATTCCTTAAACCCCTTGAATTTAAAGGAGATCTGTGAGGGTTCTATAAGGGTAGTTCTCTAAATTAAGAAACCTTTTAGGATCCTTTTTATAAGGGTGCCGTACTATATTGGGGACCCAAAAAGCGCACCTAATTTAGAGAACTACCCACAAGGGGTTTAGGGTTTAGGGTTCAGTGAAAAAGGATCTTTATAGGTTCTAGAAGGGGTTTAGGGTTCAGGGTTCAGTTATAAGGGATCTTTATAGGTTCTAGAAGGGGTTTAGGGTTCAGGGTTCAGTTATAAGGGATCTTTATGTGTTCTAGAAGGGGTTTAGGATTTAGGGTTCAGTTACAAGGGATCTTTATGGGTTCTAGAAGGGGTTTAGGGTTTTGGGGTTTAGGGTTCAATTAAAAGGGATCTTAATGGGTTCTAGCAGGGGCTTAGGGTTTTGGGGTTTAGGTGTCCCTTCAGGATCCTCCAAGATCTGGGTGCAGCCACGAGACTTGATCTAAATCCCTATAAGGTCCGGCTCGACAAACCAAACCTGAGTCTCATACCCTGTGCCCCAAACGCAAACTCTCACGAACCCTGAACCCTAAAGCCTAAGCTAGTCAACCTCTAACCCAAACCCTAACCCCCAACCCCTAACCCCTAAACCCCCACTTGGAGGGTCGGGGGACTTAGTAAGTAGGTAATAAGTAGACGTATAAGTACCCTAGGACCCTATTTGGGGTTATGATACTTATACGCCTATAAAAAAGCTACCTACTAAGTCCCCCGACCCTCCAAGTAAGCCCCAAACCCTAAGCCCCAAACCCTAAACCGTAAACCCTAAACCCCAAACCCCTAAATGCCTAAGCCCCCAAAAACACCCCTAAACCGCTCAAACCCTAAGCTTAAAGACCACGGTTTAGGGTTTAGGGTTTAGGGAAACCCTAGACCCTAAACCATAAACCCTAAACCCCAAACCCTGAACCCTAAACCCTAAACCCTAAACCCTAAACCCTAAACCCTAAACCCTAAACCCTAAACCCTAACCCCTAAGCTTAAAGACCACCGAATCTTTAGCTCAGGGCTCTCGTGGGCAGAGCGGAGCTCGTCCGCGGTGAGCACGGCCTCGCGGGATTCGGTAGGGTTTAGGGTCTAGGGAATTGGGGTTTAGAGTTCCAGTGTTTAGGGTTTAGGGTTTAGGGTTTAGGGTTTATGGTTTCAGGTTTCAGGGTTAAGGGTTTAGGGCTTTAAAAGACCATAACCTTGTCTGTTGTAGGTTCTTCGTAGAAGCCCTGTTATAGAGTAGGGTTCAGGGTTACCTTGTTCTTTGTAGGCTTCTCGTATCAACTCTGTTCTGAAATTCATAAGGGCCTCACAGACAGGTAGGTTTTGGCAGTGCAAATGAAACCAAAATTCCTCAGAAAACTAAACCCTAAACCCTAGAACCCTAAACCCTAGAACCGTAAACCCTAGACCCCAAAACCTAAACCCTAAACCCTAAACCCTAACACCTAGACCCCAAAACCTAAACCCTAAACCCTAAACCCTAAACCCTATAAACCCTAGGAGGTTCCCCCCAAAAGGCTCCGTTCCCGAAGATCAGTTTAGGGTTTAGGGCTAGGGTTTAGGGTTTAGGTTTGAGGTTTGGGGGGCTTAGGACTTTATTCTACGAGGGTTGATGATATAAGCCCTACATTGCCCATACTACGGCATATACCATAATTCCCATAGTATAGGGTCCTTAAGGCAACGCAGGAATTTTATCATCAGCAGCAAGGTTTCATACGGTTTAGGGCCTCTTGAGGGTCGGCTTGAGATGGCTTGAGGATGATTCCCTAAACCCCTAAACCCTAAACCCTGGACCCTAAACCCTAAACCCTATACCCTGTGCTTGGCGGTCCCTCTATTTGTACTATTCAAAGCAATGGGGCGCTAACGTTGTAACTCTAAGCTTCAAGCGCATCTGAGCCTAAGCCCTGAACGCTTAAACACTAAGCACTGTAGTGTCGGAGCAGTAGCAGGAGCAGGTGCAGTAGTAGCAGGAGCAGGTGCAGTAGTAGTAGTAGTACTAGTAGTAGTAGTAGTAGTAGTAGTATTAGTAGTGGTCGCCCCCTACCAACTACACTTGCTCAAAACCATCTTAAGAGCACATCCGTTTTACTCGGTATTTACAGTACTTTCGACATGTACGATCATCATAAGAAGCCTC